CCCTCCGCAGGTGGATGGTACTGCTTCGACAAGCAGACCTGCGACAGCAGATACGAGACGATGAGGAGCCTCATGAGCTCCAGCGGGTGGCCCCAGACCCGGAAAGGTAAGGCCGGTTTTAGCCCCCCTCAGACGGGCAGAGAGAGAGAGAAACCACCCCTGAATGATGAGATTCATGGAGGTGTTTGTGTTTCCTCTTTTGCTGAGTTTGCATTAATCCAAAAGCAAATTTTTTGGGAAACCCTTATGTGTTTATGAGCCTCCCATCTCTCTTTTCCTGTCTACCTCCACCTGGTATTTTCTGGCCAAAGCCTTTGATGTCATCATCAAAAGCTTTTGGGTTAGTTTTGTGTCATCCATCTTTTTTTCTGTATTCACAGGAACGGGAATTCTGTCTCCCCAGCCGGAGGAAAATCCTCACTGGTGGAACGCCAACATGGTGTAAGAGCTGGTGCCCTGTTCCTATAATGTTGTGTAGATCTGTGCAGAGCTAAAAAAGTTCAATTTTTGAGAAAACGACTTGTGGGAATCAGACCGTTTTAGTGAGAAAAAATGGTCCGGAGTGGGCTGATTATGGACTTGTGGGCTGTGTGATGCTTTCACTGTGACCTGTGCTGTTAGGGTTGCTGTTATCTCACAAACTCAAGGACAAAAACTGTCTGAAAAAGCAAAGTTTTCTCCCCCGGACTGCGAGAAACACCTTTGATCTATTCGCAGATGAAGCTTAACATGATACAGTTTCACTATACTGTGTTTGAGATGGGCCTGAAAGCCCATAGAACATGAAAAGACACCATTTTCTAGTAATTTCTTTCAAATTTCCAAGTAAGAAGTTGTCTCTAAATGTGCCATTCAGGTCTGAAGGCCTCTGGCATCAAACAGGATAAGAATCGTTAGAACAAACTGCTCTTTGGTGCTTAAAAAATGACTTATTTGGTGCCAAGTGAGAGTTAAAGTAAATTCCTGTAACAGAACAGAACAGAAAGTGCTTTTCTTTGCTCGAGTCCAGTCCTGACTTTTACGTTTGTTAGCATCCGTCCTCCTGCAGATAAAGGTTCTGACTCCAGACGGTTTTTTTCTTGCAGGTTCATCCCTTACTGCTCCAGCGACGTGTGGAGTGGAGCCTCCCCAAAGACCGACCAGAGTAAGACTCCAGACATCCCATAAATCACTTTAGTTCTGATCGTTTTCCCCTCATAGGACAACACAAGGGTGGGGTGGTGGTTAGCATCAGGGCCTCACAGCCAGAGGGTTCTGGGTTGGAGTCCCGGGGGAACCAGGACCAGAGGGTTCTGGGTTGGAGTCCCGGGGGAACCAGGACCAGAAGGTTCTGGGTTGGAGTCCCGGGGGAACCAGGACCTTTCTGGGTGGAGTCTGCATGTTCTCCTGTGTCTGTGGGTTCTCTCCGGGTTCTCCGGCTTCCTCCCACCGTCCAAAAACCTGCATGTTAGGTTGTTGGACTCCAAACTGCCCTTAGTGTGAGTGTGTGTGGTTGTTGGTCCTTGCGTGTCTCTGTGTGTCCCTGTGATGGACTGGGGACCGTCCAGGGGGACCCCGCCTCTCCCCATTGGCTACTGGGATAGGCTCCGCCCCCCGGTAACGATAATGGAAGCCTGTGGGGCAGCACTCCACCAAAGCTGCCTTCCAACTTATTTTTATTGCTAGGAACAGCCCAGATATACATATATTTCTTTTGGATGTCACCCTATGCCGTTCAATTACCCCAATAATGCCAAACGTGTCATATTTGATACATACGGTTTCTGAAATGTTTTGCGTCTGACACCTTTCGCATAATTTAATGGTAAAAACTTTGCTCAAAATCCCATTGTACACAATCAGATACACCTGATAACAGGGGGCAAAAGACTACACAAAAAATAATCTTGACCTATCCCATAGTAATAAATTATTAATATTAAAAATGTATTTCTGTTTTTTCTTTTTACGTATTTTGTTAAAAGGCCAAATTTAGACTTAAAACAAAAAAAAAGGAAGTTTCTGTTTTGTTTTATTCCTGAATCAGACTTTAAAGGGTTAAACACATTAAAAGCTAAAGTTATTGTGAGTGGGTTGAAAACAGGTCTGAACACACTGAACGCAGCACCTATATCTGGTCACAGATCTGGGATGAGCTGAGTCTGATCTCTGATCAGGGCCAATAGTTGATATCTGTGGATTCTCAGGTGATTACGCCTTCATGGGCTCCCTGATAATCCGGGAGGTGGTGAGCGAGCTGCTGCCCAGAGGCCTGCAGGGCGCCCGCACTCTGCTCCTGTCCGGAAGCAGGTCAGTGGGCCAAACACGCCGCTTTACGTTAATCTTTATTGACATTATCCACCACTTATTTTGACCTATATATATACATATAGTTTTTTTTTGTAGTATTTTTTATATATATGTATATATCTCAATATATCAATCTATATCAATAGTCAATTTCTCCCTGGAGATCAATAAAGTATATTCAATTCAATTCAATTCAATATATATATATATATATATATATGTATATGCCGCTGTTTTATTTATGGAGCCAGTAACAAAAATAATTTCCCTCTGAGATTATTAAAGTATTTCTGATTCTGATTCTTTACGTTTATGTTTATGGATTTGGCAGACGCTTTTATCCAAAGCGATTTACAGAGTAGACACAATATTACACGTATGAAGTTCTTCTGGTCTTCAACAGTGTTAGACACGTTTTTGTTTTCTTCGGGTCAGACAACAGCTAGCAGCCGAAACATGTAAACAAGGTAAAAATACACTCTTGTGGATTATTGTTGTCTGACCCGAAGAAAAAAACATGTTTCACAATATTACATTTATCATCACTATTCAATTAAATTAAATTAAATTAAATTTTATTTATATAGCGTCACATCCCAACAACAGTTGTCTCACAGCTCTTTCCAAACAGAGCAGGTCAGACCCTACTCTGAAGTTAATTACAGAAACCCGACAATTCCCACTATGATCACTGTATGTTTTACCTGCGTCCGTGGTGGCGCTGAAAACCCCCCTTTTCCCTGCGTTTGACCGCCCTTAATGGCGCCCCCCCCCTCTCTCCCGGCAGCGCGGGCGGCGCCGGCGTGCTGCTGAACGTGGACCGGGTGGCGGCTCATCTGGAGGGGCGCGGCCTGGGGGGGGTGAGGGTCCGGGGGCTGGCCGACTCCGGGTGGTTCCTGGAAAACAAACAGGACAAGATCAGCAGCTGCCTGGACCCCCTCAGCTGCCCCCCCCGGGAGGCCATGAGGAGGGGCCTCAGGTGGGAGAACGGGGGGGGACGGGGGGGGGGTCTGGGAGGTGTTTTATTTTGTTTTTGTTATTCAAGTTTTTTATTTTCTTTTAAACAATCAAACAGCTACGGTACAAAGCTTGCGTGGTATAGTATACAAAAAGTAACAGCTTAAAACACATGGTCAGACAATTGACGTAACTATAAGGATAAAAGCAAAAATAAACTAATAATAATAATAATTAAAGAATAAGTAGGTGAAAAAGATATAATAAAAAAGGGTCGCTACTGAGAAGTCAGGTAGGCTTGAAAGAAATACCAATTATTTAACACCACCTGTCCTTTGCCTCTCAGTCTAGTTAGCATAACCTCATATGATAGCGTTTCAGTCGTTACCACTTTCCATTCCTGGACTGTGGGGTGTTCGGGTGCCTTCCAGTGTCTGAGTATAACTCTTGCAGCTGAGGTTAGCCCAACCATCAACACTGAGTGCACCTGTTTTGTGAGCTGTGGTATTTCTGTTTTGTCTCCAAGAAGACATAGACGCGGACACAGTGGGAGAGTTATGTCCATCCATGTCCCTAGGAATTTAATTATCTTGTCCCAGAATGGTTTAACCAAGGTACATTCCCATATAAGGTGTAGAAAAGTTCCTGTTTCCTGGGAGGTGGTTTTACCCCTTTCCCCCTCTCCTCAGGTACTGGGGGGGGCAGGTCCCCGAGGGCTGCAGGCGGGTTCACGTCGGGGAGGAGTGGAGCTGCTTCTTCGGATACAAAGTCTATCCGACCATAAAGAGTGAGCTTCTCCTCCAAACTAATTCAGTCCAGTTTTATTTTATTTTTATATCAGGACAGCAGTCGTCTCCCAGCTTTCCAAACAGAACAGCTCAGAGAACAGCTCCCACCAAGAGCAGCACTAGGAGACACAGGGAAGGAAAAACCTCCAGAAACCTGGAGCAGAACCAGAGGGGGGGGGGCCGGTCCCCACCGGTAGGGGGGGAGAGAGAGGGAGGACACAGAGAGAGAGAGAGGGGGAGAGAGAGAGAGAAAGAGAGAGGGCAAGAGAAAGCAAGAAAAGGACAGAGAGAGAGAGAGAGAGAGAATGACAGTGAGAGAGGGCAAGAGAGAGGACAAAGAGAGAGAGAGGGAGGGTAAGAGAAAGAGAGAGAGAAGGACAGAGAGAGAGAGAGACTACACAGTAACATGGAAGTACAAACAAGTAGAGCTAGTATAGCTGTAGACTGGATTAAAACTGGTACAGATATTGATGCTAATGATAATGCTAACAGTAATAACAGCAACAGGACTATGAACAGTGGCTGTAATTAATCGTAGCAGAGGAGGAAAACAGCGAGGGGGGGGGGACTCCCCAC